AAGAGCTTTTTATATCCATTTTTGTGTTAGATGTGGGAAAATCAGTGTACTGTCTGAATTTCATTTCGGAAAAATTAGCAAGTTTTGTCTTTATTTTCAGCTTGTTCTGACTGAAATCAATCTGGGAAAAGTCATCATGTTTTGTCTTTATGTTTAACATGCTGTTTCAAAAATTAAGTTAAAAAAAAAAACCAGCATGATTGTCTTCACATTCAGCACGTTGTTGAAAGTCTTCATTCACTTTGCAGAGGGTTTTAGATGTTCCAAAATATCAATTTTTGGCTGCTACACATTTTCCTTGCACTGATAGATTTTAACTAATTCTTTTTGTCTACATCACTACTTCATATATGTAAATCAAATGCAAACATTTTTTTATCTAACTAATGATAGAGAAATCATGACTTCAATACAAGGAGTTTATACACATTATGCGTGACATGTTGTTTGATTTATTCCCAATCAAGAATCTTCAAAATTTTGATCTTCATTTATTGATTGCTTTCAGCATGAGAAATTAGATAAGCCACCTACTGCTTCACAATTATTCGAACGTGTACACCGTCGAAACAAAGGAGAAGGAGACTTTGTAGACAACAAGTCATGAATTGTGTGGGTAAGTAGAAACAAATTTAGTTTTGCTTAGACTCTATGCTCTACATTTTATGTTATCAGTTAGCTATTCATAGACACTAAACGGTGGTTGAATGATTAACTTCTTCTTCTTCTTCTTCTTTGTTGGGATTTTAGTGAAGAACGCAACCTTTCTTTTTTTAACCGAACTCATTTTTTGTCAAATGTTGAAGAAATACTACAATCCAAATATTCAAACAGTGTTAAGAAAACATAAAAGTGAGTCCTCTCCTTGTTTTTCCAACTTCATACAACCCAAATCAAGTTTTTCCATCCATTTGGGAAGGCCGATTTTGGGATTCCATGCACATTGAAAAGAACTCATTTTTCTTTAACCATGAGTAGACATTGCCGCAATATCCAGTTGCCAAAATAACAAAATCAATTTCAAGATTTTTTCCATTGATAAGCTCAACATTGGCATGAGAATAATTCTTGATTCTAGGGACTATGTAGACTTCACCAGTTCTAATTTTCTTAGGGTCTAATGTATGTGTAATGAAGAACTTTATGTTGTATCTCCCAGCTAACTTAAGTTATTTATTAAAGCAACATTGAATGACTATCTATTATTTTTTTTTCTAAAGAAAATTGGTTGATAGCATTGTTTAATCCATTTTCATTCCTTGGCATTGAAATGATATAAACTAGCATGTATGTAGAACTGATTGGTGATGCAGAAAACATGTTTTGATGGTTACGGCTTGAATGACCCTTCAATTTTATGTTTTTGACTTGTCCGCATCGTGTAAATTGCAAGGACAATAGCATTAGTTACTGTGGTACTGAGAATAGGCTGAGCAATGTTACTAGTTTCACTTCTAATAAACGGTAATTCATGCCTTTTTCCCTTTCATAAAGCTAAGCTGCTTCTTGTGTTACAGGAAAAATATGACAATGCAATTCATGAAAAATATGGTTCAAATGTGTCACAACTTGAAATTGACATTGAAGCATGGTGTGAAGCAACTCAAGGTCCTTGTAAAGGTGGTCGCTTATATGGGCTTGGTATTCAACGAAAATCTTTGCACAAAGATGTCACCTCCTCTGGTTCACCTAATGTTCCATATGATGGACATGCTGATTTCATAACTTTACAAGACGAATTTCATTTTGCTTGTGAGAAGATATATCAGCTTACAAGGGAAATGAGGGATTACTTCAAAAAAATGGAAGATGATAGGCGAGAAGAAGCGCATTGAGTTCGAACAAACGATACTTCGAATGTTGGGAGAAAGAAATGGATCACAAGATCAATCATTTGAACACAATGATCTTCAATGGTTGGGCATAAAAAATGTTTATTTTGTTTATAAAATTTTACCATTGAATGTCTAGAACTTTCTTTTGCTAACTGATCAAGTGTATGATTTTAGTATTGACTTTTGAAATGGAAGCAAAATCGATCTAATTTTTGTAACTTTGGACCTTGAACTAATGGAATGAAAATAGTTGTATTTCTTTTTTGTTTATTTATGATTTTATGTTATATATTTTTAAATTTTGTATAGTTTTAATTCACAACAGAAATATATTAATATAATAATTAATGGAATTATTTTAAATTGTAATCCAAACTTTTGAATGAAAACAACAACGGCAGGTTCGTAGCCATTTAGGAACAATTAGTTTCGTCGAAAATATGTCGCTAGTTTGCGCTAGTTTGCGATGGAAACAACAACGGTAGGTTTGTAGATATTTTGTAACAATTAGTTTTGTCGAAAAATACATTGGTAGATAGCGACGACAACCACAAATGGAAGGTTTGTAGCTGTTTAGGCGACGAAAACAGCAACATACTATTTGTAGCTATTTTAGAGACAAGTATATAAACAGTCGTTAACCACAAACGAATTAGTGACGACATTTTTCGTCACCAATTAGCTACGGTCATATTCCGTTGGTGAACAGTGACAGATATTTCCGTCACTATCACCGACGGATATATATAATCCGTCGCTATTTTTACTGACGGGGTGTTTGTCGACGGATTTTACCGACTGTTTGATTCTGTCTCTAAAGGTGATTACCAACGGATTTCGGGGCTTCAGCAACAAATTATTCCGTCTCTAAAACTACATTTTCCTGTAGTGTAGAATACACAAAGCATAGTACAATCGAAGAGTTGAGAGAGACTCTTATACAGTCCACCAAAAATATCAAATCCAACAGTCAAAAGTATGCCTCATGTAAGGTTAGGCTCAACCAACCACTTAAAGCAAAAGTTGCATTTCAATACCCATGCTGTTATCAAATAATCCGATAGCCCAACACATGCAACAACCCATGATAAAATAGAGAGGCTCAATACCAAAATAGTGAGGTAGCCCACAATACAACAAAACGCCTTAGATTGAAGGCATTGCCTAATCAATATGAATGGCACAAAAAGAACACCTTAGGCATAAGATATGTAAGTAATTTTATTTATTTATTTATTTTTTCAACTTGGTTAGGAGTCGAATAACTTAGAAATTCTAACACATTATTTTGTTTCTTTTGATGTTATAATCCTAAATAATATTTATTTCATGAATTTTGACAATTAACTCTGACATGTAGACATTTTCTATATAATACATTAAAATTTTAGTTTCTTTTAACTACCATTGACTAAATAGTTACACCTGGACTGAACCGGTGCTAACGCCGGCCGGGCTTCAGCGTGCTTCTAGATAAAGTAGACCCGGTAAAATTTTTAATGCCCACGCGCAATCATAGCGTACTGATATCCACTCACGTTACCTAACTGTCTCCACTTCCAACCCTTATTCTTTCTTTCATTAGTTAATTATTGTCTTGGGATAAGAAATGTCTCAACGTAATTAGGATTTTATCCCTTGTTTGACATCGATGAAAATTCGAATAATCTAAGTCAAAGTCAAAAATCAATTCTAACCATATATTTTATGGATATCACAATTTTCAATCAAATATTTTATCAAAATCTATTAAAAATTTGATTTTAACCCCAATCAAAAGAGGATTTATCATAGTGGTAGAACTATATCGAAAGAAAAATTTAGTTCTATAACATTTGATGAAATCATTTAGGATGATAATATTTCAATTTAGTTCAACTTTAATGAGATTGCATGGGTTAGTTTGATGGAATCGAGTTGAACCAGAATTGAACGGATCTTGTTCAATTAAATTTGGATCCTTTTATGCTTTAGAAAATATTGTAAAACTTAAATTGCTGTATAGAATTACTTGTTTCACTTTCAAGCGTTACGTTTGTTATTTGAGTATATGTTAATTCACGTAAATTACTAAAAATTATTTTAATGCTTGATTAAATTGAGATATCATAACTATTTAAATTTTGAGTCAAATTAAAATTTACTTTTGTTGCTAAAGTTCTTGATAAAAGTTGATAAAATATGTGGTTGAAAAATTGTGAGACCCATAAAATATGTTTTTAAAATTGATTGTTTACTTTAACTTAAATTAAAATCTGAATTTTAATCAATACCCGACATGGGCTAAGAACTGAACTAGGATACCTCGACTTTTGATTTTAAAAAGCGAAACCCATTAAATTTTAATTGAAACCCAATCGAATTGAATAACTAGGTTCAATTCTAATTCAATGACAATGTTTATAGATAGAAAAAGTTAAATAAAAATGCTCGCCACACAATATTGTCATTGTGAGTTTTATATTCTAATTTAGAGAAACAAATTATTCACGAAATAACTCGTTATTAACACGATAGAAGTAACCAAAACTATTAATTAGACATGTAAAGTAGATCTTTAATGAAATAAAATGAACGGCAGATGAAGGAATCACTGACATAAGGTCCTAATCCACACACTTTGGTGCAATATCTAGTGGACATGTAATAGGATCCATTTACATTTCTTCCACTACGATTGATTGAGTGCCCTCTTTCTTTCTCATGGAATGTAAACAAAAGTGCCAATGGCACTCTAAGAGGACCAAATTACTCTTGAACTAACACATAATGAATATTATGATTGAACTATGACATATCAATTAAGTCGCATTGATTGTGTCATTGATCAAGTATCATTTCAAATATACGCTTAGGACCAATTTCTATTTTTGCTTCTTCTTGTTGAAAAGCTTTCTTTGTTCATTTTATTCTAAAAAATCTTTTAACCAAACAAAATACTTTCAAAAAATTATCTAAACTTGTTCAAAAACAATTTCTAAACCTCAGAATAAGCTTTTAACTTTTCAAAACTCTTACCAAATGAGCCCTCAATAGTACTATGAATTCAAACTAAAGAGTTCGACGACCTCGACCCATGACATGTCGTATTAGTAGGGACAAACTGTATCTATATATTTAGTTATGTTGACTAAGCTTACTTCATAACTCTAATTGCAAATCAAGCGTAACCCTATATTAAAGGCATGTTGTAACTCTTGCACGCTAATTCCAATCGCGTGGATACTGAAACTTCTTAGCATGAAGAATGATGCCACCTTGAAATTTCACAAGTCGACTTTTCTCACCTTGTTCTTCCGAAGAGCGTTAAGGTCTTATCTACATAATTTTCAACCTTTTGCAATCTTTCGTGTGTATGAAGGTACAAAGATGTCTGAATATGATCAACATATATACTCCAAATAAATCTTTGTTTCACAATTATAATAATTATCCCATCTCTCTCAGACAAAGACTCTTTCCACCCCTCTATATCTATATCCAGTCTGTTACTCTTCCAATTAAGTGTCATTTTGTACGGTTTTGAACACGAGCGAAGAATCCTTTTTTCGACTTTGTCTATCCGATTTCCGACCTGATAATTGAAAACTATCAAATAGTTATGGATTTCTTCAGAGAGGCTAAGGCTGTTAGACTCAGAAGCCACTTGAACAAATACCTAGTAGCCGATGATGATCAAGTATCCACTCGGCAGAGTAGAAATGGTGCAGCACGAAAAGCCCGGTGGCTAGTCGAGCAAGTCGACAACAACCCCCACGTCCTCCGCCTCAAAAGCTGCCACGGCAGGTACCTCACCGCCTCCGATGAGGCTTTCCTATTAGGCATGACAGGTCACAAAGTCCTCCAAACCCTGCAGGAAAACATCAAGGACATGAAAATTGAGTGGCAGCCTATAAGGGATGGATTTCAAGTAAGGTTAAGGGCCTGCGGAGGCACATATTTACGTGCGAATGGAGGCACGCCGCCTTGGAGGAATTCGATTACACATGATAGTCCTTATACTTCTTCTACACATAATTGGATTTTATGGGATGTAGAGGCCATTGAAATTCCCGAAAATGAGTCCTCGACACATTATTTATCGATGGTTTCGAGTTTTTCGTCGGTTTCGGATGAACTGTCAGGGTTGGACCTCGGGTCACCGGAATCGATACACTCCAGTTATTCTCCCTCCCCTAGATTACACTCTTGTTATTCTCCCTCCCCCAGATTATCTATGAAGAAGGTACGTTTTCGTCTGATACTTTATAAACATTATTATTTTTTCGACGACAAGTTTATTTTATTCTAGTATATAAGGTCAATGGTCTCGAGCAATTGTTTTTTAAGGATGTTTCCTAATTTGCATTGTCTATATACTTGTTGAAGCATGGCTTTTTTCATACCAAAAGTAAGGTCAGAAATATCAAATTTCTCCAAATGAAGAATTTATTTCTGCCAATTTTTATGGTTCCACCCAAAAGGGTTTCTTCTTACTTTTAATGAGGAAAAGAATAAGTAGAATAATCCATATTGAAGTTTGGACTTTGGGTAAAGCGCAGCAAGAACCCTTATTTTTTTTTTTTTTTTTTTTTACATACACATGGTAATATGGTATATTGCATCAATTGCACTTGACCAAGAAAAAGATTTTGAAAATTTTGATTCCCTCTATAGGTGTAGGTATTGGTATAGGATCACATTTAGGGATACCAACGAGTTGAGTCGAATCGACTTTCAAGTCAAAACTTGAAGCTCGAATTCGACTCGAGTAATAATGGTTCAGACTTTTTTTTGACCCGAGCTGAGCTTTTGCTCGATCAAAAAAATCTAGACTAGACAAGAACATTTGGCTCGATTGGATTTTTTTTAAAACTTTTTTTTGGATTTTGATAGTTGTACACCGGATTTGACACCCCAATGTACCGACCCCTCACAACAGGAGGGGGTCCATGACGAATTAACAAAATTGTGGACCCCCCTGTTGTGAGGGGATCGGTACACCAGGTTTTCAAATTCGATATCGAACTAGCAAGATCATTTTTTTTTAATTTTTTTTTTAAGAATTAGCTAGCCTGCAATAGTAGGTAGTGCATGCGAAAGGCTAGCTACCTGTTAAGGCAGCAGTATGTACCTTGTAGGCAGCAGCAGCTGTTGCCTACTGGTGCCGCCTTAACTGTTGCCTTAGGCAGCTTTGTTTTAAAAAAAAAAAAAAAAGGTTGAATCTCAATTTTGAGGGTCTCCACCGTTTTGTCCCTAGAATTTTGTGAGGGAGGTAAATCGTGGGATATGCTCCAGTAGGCCAGGGAACAAGAGCTGCCTGTACACTGTGCCAACAAGAAGTCAAATTTCATGTTTCAGAAATCGAACCCCCACACTGCGCCTGTCAACAAGGTGTGAGATAACCTTACTCCTGTCATTTGAACCACTATACTATACCCCGAGGTGCTAGCTTTGTTTTAATATATATTTTAAGTTTTGTAGGTAGTTGATTTAATTTTATTTTTTAAGGCTCGACTTGTTACGAGTTGAAAATTGCTCATGACATGGGTCGATCTGACGAGCCACACCGGTTTCTTGGGCTTGAATCGATGCTCCAAAATGGGGGTTTCATCGAGCCAAATTGACACCCTTTGTCACATTCGAAGCCGACTAGAATAAAATGCTTAACGAATAGTCTATTTTGGGTTTCAATCATCTCTCCTCTTTTTTTTTTTAAAAAGATCCCTAGTCCTTTTTTTTTTTTACGATCATTGAATGAAGGCGTGTGATAAACCTCACATTCACAAATCTCAATCACCGATTCTTCACATTTCTGGGTATGAAATTACCTTGGTCGAATCGTTAAAATATTATTTGCCTTTGCAAATATGAAATTGTCTCATTTCAACCGTCATAGTCGATGGAAAAATATTTTTTCAAGTCTACAAACGGAGTTTTAAATTAATTTCGAGTGTCGTAGGGAATAGGCTACTAAAATACATAGTATATATAATCGATGTAGGGATGTCAATGAGCCGAGCCCGAGCCTAAAATTTTAGGCTCGAGCTCAACTCGGTTAAAATGTTCGAGCTTTTTTACGAGCCCGAGCAGCCAAAAAATTTCGGCTCAAGCTTTTACGGGCCGAGCCGGGCAAGCTTGATTTTTTTTTCCCACCTTTAAAATTGCCTTTTTAAAGGTAGAAAACTTGGCATAATTCTACCTTGTTGCCTCTTTTTTTTTTTTTTTTTTTTTTTTTTTTAATAAGCTCGCTGGCCGGCTTGGGCTCGACCCGTGTCCCCAAAATGGGGCTCGGCCCGAGCCGCCGAGCCTTTTTGACATCTCTAAATCGATGACTACATTAAAATTATGAACCTTGACGCATGTGATCATGTGACAACATACGAACATATCCTTGTAGAAATCAAACTTTACCGAGTTAATTGTTCTAATGGTCACTGAAGTTAGGTTTATGTCTTTAATTGATCACTGAACTTTAAAATGTCAAGTTTTGGTCTCTAACTAAACTTAAGTCCATATCTTCGATTAGTCATTGAAATTTAAAATGTCGAGTTTTTGCTACTAACCTTTAAAAAAAAGTTTTACATTACTTATTGTAAACTTGACATTTTTCAAAATTCAATAATTATACTAATGAGTAACATATATCATTTTTTAAAGTTTAGTGGCCAAAATTCAACATTTTAAATTTCAGTGAGCAATCAAAGATATTGACTTAAGTTTAGCGATCAAAACTCGACATTTTAAACTTTACTGATTAATCAAATACATGGACTTAAGTTCGGTGACCATTGAAACAATTAATTCAACCTTTTCCAACCCATCCTAAATTGCCTAAAAAAACCCAACACTAAGGGTATGTTTGATACATGAAAATTTTCCCTATAAAATGGAAAATCAATTCCAACTTCTATTTTAAGGGTGTTTGATAGTTTTTCTTTTCCATGGAATTGCATTTCTTGGTTTCCTTGGAAAATGAATTTTTTTTTGGTTTTCATGGAAAACCAATTCTCACCTATATGATGGGAATAGGTTTTCTCGAGTATTGTAGCATTTTTTTTTTTTAACAATGAAAACAAATTCTAAGAATTATTGTAAAAAAATATTTTTCTCTAATTGACAATTTTCATGTAAAACAAAACCAAACGAATATTAAAAAATAGATGATTTTCTTGGTTAAATTTTTTTTTTTTTGACAATGAAAACAAATTTCATTTCCAATATTAATAAAATGCATTCCTTTAATTGACAATTTTCATATAAAGTAAAGCTAAACGAACACTAAAAAAATTTTTATTTCAACATTTTCCGCGTGAATAATTTACAATTCCAAACAAAATAATTTCTAAATAATTTAATTATTTAGGATTCGTTTTGTTTCCATTCAAATTCTATTTTTTCAATTAAACTGACCCTAATTCCTTCCTGTTCAAAAAATCTATCAATTAAAGAGCAATTTGAGCTTGACCACAAGAACCACCGCAATGGATCTGTTCCAAAACGCCAAGGCAGTGAGACTGAAAAGTGTGCACAGCAAGTATTTAATAGCAGAAGAAGACGAAGAATTAGTGACCCAACATCGGACTGGTTCATCAAAGAATGCAAAATGGACAGTAGAATTTGTCGAAAATTCGGACAACATAATCCGCCTCAAAAGCTGTTATAATAAGTACTTAACAGCATCAGACAAGCCATTTTTGCTGGGTATGACGGGGCGTAAGGTGTTGCAAACAATGCCTGGGAGGCTCGACTCTTCCGTCGAATGGGAACCCATTCTCCATGGCAGTTCTGTGAAACTCAAGACGAGGTAGTGTTAACCCGCCTAAAAATGTTTAAGCTATTAGAAAGGAGCTAGTGTATTCATTTAAATTTCTTGAACAGGTATGGGCAGTTTTTGAGGGCTAATGGCGGGTTGCCGCCGTGGAGAAACTCAGTTACACATGATATTCCTCATCGGACTGCGACCCAGGATTGGGTTTTCTGGGATGTGCATGTGGTGGAAATCTTGGTTATGTCGCCGACGGCGGCGTTGGCGCCGCCAGTTTTGACTGCTAACTTGGATTCTTTTGCTTCGGATTCTAGTTCACCGCCTACTCCTTCCTTAAATTCTGCCACCTTTTCTGGACCAGAGGTATTTCTTTAATCTTGTTTTGAGTGTTTATTTCTCATCTGGTCTCCAAATTGAAAACGAATAAGAAAATTAATCTAAAATAGGTATTCAGAGCTTGGAATTGGAAATGTAGAAATAAAAGATAAAAGTAAATTTAAGCAAGTTGTCGAATTTTGTAACAGCTACTTTTAAGTCTCACATTGCCCGTGAAAGGCCTGCTGTGGCTAAATAAGCATGTTAGGCAGTCTCCAATTACAAGTCGATGTTAAGGGTTAGTTCTAGTCGATGCAGTTTTAATACATGTTCAATCCAATGCTTTAATTAGATGCCACTGAAGTCGAAATAAGAATGTGAAAGAAATGATGCTTTTAATTACTCTGATTCGAGTTCGATAATTAGCTTCAGATCTCTTAGGATCCTGATTACATTTTGGGGGTTTCTTTTGCAGTCGAATGATTCTTTGATTAGTTCACCATTGAACTGGAGCGATGGCAGATTGATTTACTTTCATATAGCCAACGAATATGGGGAAATTGATGAAGGATTTGAGGAGCTCTGTACTACATTTAAGGGAAATGGCATTCGAGAATTGACGAAAAAGTTAGGGGAGGAATTGGGAGTTGATAATATTACTGTATGTACACGAAGTCCATTGAATGGAAAGCTTTACCCTCTTCATTTACAGCTTCCTCCCAATAATGCAACTATGCATATTGTTGTGATTCCGACCTCATCAGAAGGTAATCTTTTTCTCCGAATTAGTTAATGCTAGTTGATATTGTTACCATACATCTTTTCATATGCAATACAAAATAATTTTGATTCTACATTTAAGATATGCTAGTGGCAGCAACAGAGAATCTAATCTGGAGCTAGTTGTTTAACCCTTTGATCCATTGCAGTCCTTATTTTAGCACTCTGATCCAGTTTGTTTTTCAAAGATAGTAGTTTTCAAACACTTGCATCAGTCCATTTTATAATTTTGGCTCTTCGTATGTAGAATTATGAATATTCATTTCACTAAGGAAAATGTAACTTGTTTTAAGCTATTCACTGTTTGTTACATGGGGGTCGATCTGTGTTCCCAGTTTAAGATTTAGCACTAATCTGTTATCCCGTTTATGGTTAAGTCTTAATACCTAATTGTAGTATTTACAAGAGTGATAAGAGATAATAAAATCAGAAAACAAGCAAAACGTCTAACAGAGTCTTCTAAGATTCTTGTGTTGTTGGAATATTAGATGGATCTGTGGTTGAGGAGAAGTGACCGGTATAACTTTTGTGCTTGTTTTAAGTTTATTTTTTGCTTTCTTTCCACTTCATATCAGGGTATTCCATGTCTTGTATGAGCAAAATGCATCCTATATCTTTTATGCGATTGCTATGATTTAGTTTTTCATCGAGATTAGCGTGATTAGATTTTCTATTGTAAATCTTACTAGCATGCTTGCTACTGAGTTTTGGGGTGGTAGAATTTACTTGAAATCCCCAAACAAGTTTGAATTACTTTCTTTGATTTGTTTGCTTTACACACCGCCTTGTACTTGCTTTTTGATCAGAAATTCAATTACCAAAGGAGGGAATTTGATAGCCACAACCAAGTACCAATTTAGAGATGTTATTCTTCCAAAATCAAGCCACACATCTTATCTATTTTTCTCTTTATTTTGCCATACAAATTTGCGGGCATTCCATATGGTTTTTGGTGTAGTGGGAGGAATATGGAAGTTATGGGTTGTGGGAGGTTAAGTTTTAAATTTAATTTCCAACTTGTCCCTCCAAAACCCTTTTTCATGCAAAGAGAGTCGGGTCAACCCACAAGAGCAACCCATTTTCTTCCAACATCCATTGTTTCCACTTTGTTGAATACCCTTTTTACAGGTTGCCGGGTATCTGTTTTGTGATTTTGCATTTCACAATGTATTTTCTGCATCTTTATAAAATTTGTTTGGTTCTTTTACGTTTTCTTTCCTTCTTCTTTCTGTGCATCAGAATCTGGAGATTTGAAAACATCAAGAATGCCATTGTAGAAGGAACTTATAAACGGTACGAGTGCAGACTTCCCTGATGCTCGAGTTAGCTTCCAGAGCCTTTTCATCTCGATGTCGATGATAGTTGAACTCGTGAAGATTTTGTAAATACGTTCTATACAAACTACAATAGAGCTTCTTCAGTTTTCTTTCGTTCTTTATTCTTAAATCTTCTTTTTGATCTGTTTCGTTTTCCCTTTTTTTTTTGGCGTCTGTCTCTGAAATAACTTTGCTGTAAAAAATGTCTACCCATTTTGAGAATTGGGGTTTGAAGAGTTGAGTAAGTATAAACGAGGTCTTGCAAAGGATGGGAATGTATATGACACTAACATTTAAATTAAAAAAAAAAAATTGTTTAAATTCTAATAATTTCAAATATTTTAAGTTCAAAACTCACCTTCAATTATTTATGAAAATTGTGCATGATAAAAATAAGATAAAAACATATTGAAGACTCGTGCATCTTTATTTTCAAATAACAAACCTTTGTTACTATGCATTAATCACCGATCATCAAACCTTAGTTACATGTATAAAAACCACTTGACAAGGCTTTGGTGGGGTAGCGTGGGGGTCATATCAAACCTGTGTTTCTCAATCTTTCCTTATCAGTACGAAAGTTGGCAAAAAAATGAACTTCAAATTCCTGAGCAACATCCTGTTTCAAATTTTATGAAAGTTAAGTCATAAATATTTGACTGAAATAAAATGGAAAACAGTCGAATGTCGAAGCAAAAGCAAAAGATGATGTATACTTCCAAGTTCCAACTGATCAACATCAATCTTGGGCGAACTCAACATCAGCAAATTCTTCACAAACCCGGTGTTTCTGATGCTTGAAGGTCGTGCAAACCCAAAGTGATTTAGACTTGGATAACTTGTTTATACTACAGAAATGACTGGTGGGGTGGCTTTTTATACTGGTTGATTGCATATTTTTCCATGTTTTCTTCATTAAAAAATTGTTTCCGTGTCTAAGAATATGGTTGAGTTAAATGATGAATCGATTTAGTGATATGAATTTTATTGATTATAATGTTAATAGGCCTAATAAAGATTTTTGCTTAATTTCGACGTGCAAAACCAGTGATTCTGTAGCTTTATTATTTGTGGCTACTTTATTCCAATATTCTTGGCTTTCCACGATATCTGTAATTTACTCATTATCTAAAAAAAAAAAAAAAAAAAAAGGTTGAACGCCAACCTTGAAGGCCTCCACTGTTCCGTCTCTAGAGCTTT